TACATTGAACAAAATATTTACTCTCACTATCTCACCCCACCAAAATCTTCACTTTTTATCAATATTTTTCAAAGCGAAAACTGGGTGTGGTTCTTGTATCTTTTGAATGATACTAAATGACCCTTCCAATAGAAACTAATCATGATAATGTTCAAATAACACAAAAACTATAAAATCTTTATTTAATTGCGAAAACTGAGGTGTGGTTCAAGTTTTTGAATAAAATTTACTGTCAATCACTCAAATAGGAAAGATATTCAATAGGGTGTGACAATGACTATCAAAGTCAAGAATCAAATCAGAATTTCGAAACCACATAACAAAATAAAAATCGTTGATATCAAAATTGATTTCATTGTAAAAATTAGGGATTTTAGAAAGAATTATGTTGAATAAGATTTGAGAAACAACTGGGTGTGGTCCAAGTACTTGACCATATAATTACACCAGTTTCAAAAAAATTTCCCAATCAAAGATTAAAATAGCACTACTACTCACCTCAGTCTCTAGGAAACAGGTGTGACCCAAAATCACAATCACATTGTTTCACAAATTTATGAGAAAAAAAGGAATACATATTCCAACAGTCATGAATAAAAATGCAAACTAGAATAATAATTCTCCCATGTTTAAGTATTGGAAGCAAATTCACTCTTATCTCTGTGATAATGTTAACAATAACAAGTTCATCAACCGACATCTGTACAAGTTTGGATAGCTGATTATCATATAATATTGTTTTCAGATGATTACAGGGTGTGCATTTTATTAGGATAGGTTACAAAAATACTATATTCATTATTAGCATTACCAAAACTAGATATACATCACAGGGTTAGTCTTGTGGGAGGTCTTCACACATATGATGATAGAGTCGTGTGGATGTGACAAAAAAAATTTTTTTCAAACAAATAATATACCCCTCTGGATTACTTGGGGTGTTCAACCACCTTCTACCTTCCCAACCACCATATAGCCATCTCAACAAAATCGATAACACAGAAAAATCGCTGAGGCTGAACATACGTATGTTCTGCCTCACCTAAGACTAGACCGAACTAAGTTGAGGCAGAACATACGTATGTTCTGCCTCAAAAATGTTGAGGCAGAACATACATTGTATCACTACTAACGACATTTATGAACACATTAAATCCGACATAGATAGGTTCGACACTTCTGATTATCAGCATAATAACATCTACGGTATTCCGTTGAGGAATAAAAAAGTTCTAGGAGTCACGAATAATGTCCGAATTCATTGGGTTAAGATCTAAAATGTTTACGATCAGAATCTTCAGAAGTGAAAGTGGAATGCAGCAAGATATGAAACGGAGAAGACAGGAGCTGGAAGAATAAGACCTTAATGAACAAGATATCGAGAAGGCTATGAGCAATTTAGGTGTCACAAAAAAATTAAAAGGTGTTCAAAGAGCTGCACTGCAAACTATCACTTTTGAAGATTATTATAATAGACTATTCAATAATACTTCTACCGAAGTCAATCAATATCTGATTAGGTCTCAAAAACATGAGGTACATACAATTGAACAGAGGAAAGTCGCTCTGAATCCCTATGATGATAAAAGGATAGTTGATAATCTCCATACTGATACATTGCTGTTGGGTTAGAATTTTTCCATAGATTGTATTTCAATCAAATTATATTTCATCTTTTGTTTCAATCCAGACGCTGTGAACATGAGTACCGCCAACAACAACAACAACAACCATAATTTGATACAAGAGAATACTATAAGCAGCTCCTCTGGCAATGGAGAAGGTACACCACCAGGCATCAACGGACCATCAAGATACCAATGCACCTGTTGTGGTAAACTGTTCCCCAGTTACACTGGATATGGGTTATGCTATACATGTCTCCAGACTGAAAATGAAAATGCGTAACCAGATCGGCTACAGCGCCAAAGGGACATGCATAGTAGATTCAAGTGACAACGCTAGTATCCAGTGTATGAACATCAACCCATCCAGCATCAGTCCACTGATAATCTCCAAACAGGCAACACGCGTGATGTCAATCAAAATTTTCATCATCCTACTGCTGTTGAATGAAGCAGAATAAGCACCTCAGAAATTTTTCTCAGGATATACTCCAAAGAACAGTACCGTATACATCCAACATGAGATACCCGATAGGGCGACTTCGCAAGTCACTTACAACAATCTGTTGACGAAGTATCCTGATATCAAGGTATATTCGATTCAGTCTATGGAGAATAGTGGATTAATGCTCCAATCCAACAACAACAACAAGAGCAACAACAAGCCTACAAAATATCCAGGTTTCAATTCATCAGATCACTCTATGTACACTGGGTGAGGGAATATAACATCGGTGGCACTGGGGCAGTGGTAGAATCGCCTACAGTAAATTGTAAATCGTATGAAAATCAAATCGAAAACTATCAGGAAGAGTTGAACAATACGATTGACGAGTGATTCGAAACCAAACAAAAGTTCAGTAACTGTAGCCAAGAACTGCAATTCAAGGTGAATGAAACAGCTACAGAGTTGAACCAAATTAGATCGGATATAGCCGCATTAATGACACTCAGTTCTGGATTCAAGATAAAAGCTGATTTGTGGGCCTCAAGATATGCAGATTAAAAATTCGTAAAGTCATCTACGCCCGCACCTAGCAGTTCAATAACAAGCAATCAGAAGGATTCTTCTGCATACCTTACTTTGGAATGGAATTATTCTAGCTGCTTGCAGGAGCTGAGACGTTGTAAAAGTCATTATTAATATTGAAGCTCTTTCCATAAATGTTAATTATGATAAATGAAAATCTCTTTACGCTTTTGAATATTGTTATTCTCTATTCATTTGACAATCAATACATGCAAACATAATATTGAAATGTCATGTTTCCTTTCTTCAGGACATCGATCATCATCTTCATTCCTCATTGATTAACCATATTGTTATACGTTCACATGTTTCACAACGTATCATTTAAGTTTTTCTAACTCGCCAACCTAGCGTATTACTGATGAGGGTGCATTTGGAGGTTCTCCAACAACCCGTACAAGTATATGAAACATACATCCTGAAAATTGTGCTGTCAATTGGGATAGTCTTCTTCAAGAATGATTCACATCGACAGCAACAGCTCCTTCCATACTTATCAACATATCACGTAACTTATTCACTTGGATTTTCTCGATAACATCTAGATGAACCCGAAGTTCCATATTGTTCCTCGTGAGAATCACATGATTCATTTCATCCTCTGACCATTAATTCAATGTTACATCATCAAATGTATAATCTTAATCGCAAAACACTTTCAGGGCACTATCTTGCTTTTCCATAAAATCCAAAAACTCTTCGAATTCACAATGAGACAACATAATTTGTCTTTTAGTATTAACATCTTCTATTGTAACTATATCACTTGCCAAAACAGTTATTTTCAACTCATTCTCCACATTATATCTAAGAAAAATGGGTATTGGTCTGATCTGCCTATGACAGGCAGCGACATGCCCCTGACAAAATCTTTCTTCATCATCAAAAACTCGCGACCACATCCTCGTAATTTCATGTATGTAATGATTGAATGCTTTTTGAGATATAACTTCATCTGATGGAAAAAATTATAGATCAAAGTTCAATTACCAGGTTGAAGAACAATGTATCTCTCAAATATTCATTATGGGAACATGATATCTATTATGAATTACATATTATGCACCACCAAATACTTGATACTGTTGACCTCTGGGTCAGCTTGCGATATCCAATTGATATTTCAAACATGTATATAGGGTGATTGAGGTCTGTGGAACAAGAATTTGGAACATATAATTGTGAATCAGTAAAGCAGATGAAACAGGTGAAATGTACCTAGAGGTGACAGGTGACAAAGTGAATCTTCGGTGACAACATCTTCTGGTCATTGTCGACGACACTTGTGCACCTGAAAAAGTCTGCACAAACCACAAATAGGCAAGGTGAATCGCAAATTCATTCGGTGACACAGGTGAGACAGGTGGAAATACATGTGACAAGGTGAATCTCTGGTGACAACACCCTCTGGTCATTGTCGACGACACTTGTGCACCTGGAAAAGTCTGCACAAACCACAACTAGACCTCCCTATTGTCTGCAAGAGCTCGAGAACTGGATGGACTGGGCCCAGGTACGCGGTAGATATACTACTCACCACGATGAAGTCGATGTATCTTCATTTGCCTACTGTACTCGTTATATAGCCTTCAAAGTCGTCTTATACGGTCACTGCAATCGTATCTGCTTCAACTGTATGCATGTCATATGCTAGACTGCAGAGTTACAGTGTAAACATAGTCGAAGTCGAAGTTTCTTGTTCTGCAAGCTGTGTGCGTTATACCCACTTGGGAGTCGTCTTATATGGTCAATGTGGACCTCTCTGCTTCGATAGTGTCAATGTTAGATGATTAAAAAGAGAGATAAAGTGTGATCAACGATGGAGTCGATATATACCCATTTACCTGTTGTACTCGCTATATACCCTCCAGAGTCGTCTCAAATGGTCACTGCAGTCGAATCTGCTTCAACTGTATGCATGTCAGATGTTATACTGCAGAATAACAGTGTTAACATAGTCGAAGTCGAGGTTTCTTGTTCTGCAAGCTGTGTGCGTTATACCTGCATGGTAGTCGTATTATATCGGTCGATCAGTATTTTGCTCTTCCAAATACTCGCAAAGTTGAGAAGTCTTAGATCAAATCTAGTGCCGAAACTTAGTACGAAGTGATCAGAAAATTGTGAAGTGTAATCTGTTATAACAGTAATTTGATTTTGTTTCCGAGTTTTCGCAAAAAGTGGAAAAGTTTAATAAATTTATTTAAACGAAATCACCAAGCCACCACAAAAATCAATTCATAAAGATAAATATCAGAGCCCGCAAAAAATCTTCAAGACCCACTAAAAGTGATACGTATTATCGGCGCTAGAAATCCTGGTCCAGTGGCGTGCGCTATTGCCTAGCAATGGGCGATGAAGACTGTAAAGTATGCAAATTAAAAATTAGGGATATGAAGGAAGCAGTGTGCTGTGACAGCTGCAGGGACTATATGCACACTGGTCCAGTGAAAGAAAAAAACTGCTCGGGTCTTTCCACAACTGAACTTCGTGCTATGGTTCTTCAGAATCGTAACATCATTTTCTTCTGCAATGATTGTAGAGATGCCTTTAGGAGTGTTCCATTACTCATTCGGCAGATAACTGAAATAAAAAATGATGTGAAAACTCTTAAAAATGATGTGGAAATTCTGAAAAATGATAAAATCAAATGCGAAATGGAAATTGCATCTCTGAAAGCAACTCAAAATTCAACATCCCTAAACTCAAACTCAAACTCTGAATTGGGATTGAACATGTGCGAAATCCTAGCAGAAATAAGCGAGAGAGAAGCCCGTAAGAAGAATATTATAATATTTGGTCTACCAGAGTCACAAGCAAAGCGACAAAGATTCCTGTTATGAAATGCTGAAGATAATTAATCCCAATATGGAAGCTGAACCAAAATTATTCCGGGTGGGAAAAATTAATTCTGTAATTGGAAAACCGAGACCAATGAAAGCGATATTTTCAACGTCCGTAGAATCGCTCAAAGTACTTCATAATGCTAAAATTATCAAGACTATCACTCGCTTCAAGAATATCATTGTCGCCAGCGACAAAACACCTATTCAAAATGAACAATACAAGAAATTGAAGAGCGAGTTAGCACAACGCGCAGCAAATGGTGAAGACAATCTGAGAATAAAATATATTAATGGTGAACCAAAAATAGCAAAAAACTAAGTGAATCGTCCAAACAGAAATCAACAGATAGCATCCACTGCTACTATCAGAATACTCGAGGACTGAACTCAAAAACTCATCAATTTTATCAAGCTGCTCTGGCATCAGAATATCACATTATTGCTATCTCTGAAACTTGGATCCAGCCTAATGTCCATAACGCCGAACTTTTCGGTGACAACTACGTAATCTTCCGCAGCGACCGGGATTTATGTGCTACCAATACCACTCGAGGCGGAGGAGTACTAATTGCAGTGAGAGACGATTGTGCAGCAACCGAAGTGGATTTTTCAAAGTATCGTAATAGTTTTAGTACCATAGACATTGTAGGTTGTAAGATCGTGATCAGCCATAAATTCTTCTATATTTTCAATATATACATTCCCGATACCAATAATATTCATGTACAACACCTACTTGAAACCCTGGAAACCCTTGAGCTACTCTATGATAATAAGCTATTGATATTGGGTGACTTCAACCAACCACATTTCAACAATAGAATTAACCCCAATTATGGAAATCAGACAAATCTGGTCAGATTGGAAGAATTCATTAGTTTTAACGATCTTAAACAATACAATTCAATTGTCAACAGTACAGGTCATCTACTCGACCTAGTATTGTCTAATCTAGATTGTCAAGCGGTGCATGATGACTTGCCATTTGTCAACGAAGATAGCTACCACCCAGCGTTAAACATCAACATCGACTTTCCTAAATCGTCACCAGTGATTTCATATAACAATAATCAGCACTATTATAATTTTCGCAGAGCAAATTTTCCCTTGATGTATGCACACTTATATGAAACAGACTGGTCATTTTTACAACAATATATTGATGTGAACACAGCACTGGACGAGTTTTACAAAATTATTTACTCTATATTTGATCTATACGTCCCATTGTGCAAGAACTTTACAAGAAAATATCCTCCATGGTTCTCCAAAGACATCATAAATGAAATCAAACAGAAGAACAAAATGTTCAACAAGTTGAAAACTACAAACTCTCTTACTTGTAGGCTCCAATTTAACGAATTGCGTCGTTCAATAAAAAGTAAAATCAAGACTGCATATGATCAATACATATCTACGGCAGAAAATTCAATTCAAAACAATCCATCTAACTTCTGGTCTTTCATCCAAAATAAAAAAGGCACCTCAAGAATACCTGGAGTAGTAAATTTGAATGATATTGAATATGATACACCCGAAACAATTGTTAAAGCATTCGCAGATTTTTTCCAAAGTGTATATGTCTCTCCAGATTCGAACAATCACTCGCCTAATTTGGAGAAGATAGCAAATGGTCCTATCATATCATTAAAATCCATGAACGAAGATGAAATCTTAGAAGCACTTAAAAAACTCAAGCCGAAACAAACAAGTGGTCTCGATGGGATCCCAAGTTTCCTAACGAGAGATTGCGCCTCGGTATTAGCAAAACCTTGTAACGAGCATGAGAATATAGGAAGCTGTAGGTTCATTACCAAATACAAACACAGTATTACAACAAGCTCATGTATTACGAAAACCTAACATGGGAATCTGAGGATAGAATCGAACAGACAATCGCAGGTCTTCTGAAAGTGCTCCGTATAGGAATATAGCTATGATTTCTCTAACCTTCGTCCAAGCTTCGTTCGCCTTTACGTACAATAGATGTTTGGATCAGGAACTCTGCATACAGTTGGGAATCGGCTTTCCAAACGACCTCCAACACCGTTGATACTTCTTATAAACTTTCCAAACGATCTCCAACACCGTTGATACTCCTTATTCTTTTTGTCCCGATTCGAGACTTCTAATCTATTTTTTTTTTGACCTCTCGCCAAATTCGTCTGTTATTATTTTTCTTCTCCTTGCACACTATCCTACTTTTTCTCCATTCCCATCATCAATATACAAAGTACTCTTCATTACCCCCCTTTAAAATTTCAGCCCTTTCCTACTCTACTCCATGATATACAGAAACTTCTCCTAAATCAATCCTTCTTTACCCCCCTTTTACATTTTAGAGAACCTTTGGTTTCGAATAAAATTTAAAATTAGTTGACATAATATCGAACCTATCAAAAATAATTGCTGATAACACTAACAAATAACGAGGCAAAACACGACAACAAAACAATGAAAAGAAAATGTGGATTGCAGAAAAACTAAACTTTCAATATTAAATCATTTTAACTGGAGGTACATATTTCTTCAAGTTATAAATATTATATTTCCCAATTACAACACCGTCATCGTCAGTGATCTCAAATGCATTATTACCCAATTGTCTAGCAACTGTATATGGACCTTGAAAGAGCAAAAAGAATTTCTTTATTTTTTTATTTTCAGCTGATGACTGAGGATGAGTTTTCACCCAGACTTTATCACCAACATTAACAAAGATGCATTTATGTTTGTTATTATGTTTCAGCTGACGTCTCTCTGCTTTTGACATAAGGCGTTCCCGAGCTAACGTTATCACCTGATCTTTATCTATAGAGAAATTAGTTTGAAATGCAAATTTTTTTAGGCTTGGCTCTTCTCGCGATTTTCCGAAATGGACTTCATTAGGTGTATACTACCTCATTCAATAAAGTTTCCACATTCTTCACTTCGTTTGCCCACTTAGTATGACATTCATGACAAAAATGTCGTAATAATCGTCCTACCTCCCTATTAACCCTCTTCGTACAATTCCCTTGTGGATAATAATAGGTCGTTTTCAAAATTTTGACACCCTGAGAGCTCAAATTGTCCTTCCACTTGCAACTAAATTGGGTACCATTATCCGTGAGAATGTAGTTTGGTTTACCACTCCTTATGAAATAATCATTAGTCAATCTATTTATGATAGCTGTCGTAGTTGCACTCCGCAACGGGTAAAGAGTCACAAGTTTCGAAAAAACATCGATTATTACCAGTAACTGTGTAGCTCCTGACCTAGATCTAGGAAGAGGTCCTATTAGGTCCAAACATATTAAATCATTCGGTGCATTTGATAAAACGCTATGCATTTCACCATGTAATTTAGGCGAAATCTTCGTTTGCTGGCATATTTGACAGCCCGCCACAATAGAACGTATCTGAGCACGCATTTTTGGCCAAAAAAAGTATCGTCTCAATGCTAAATAAACTTTGGTTGCACCGAAATGTCCATGTTCGTCGTGTTCTTGTGACACTGAAGATAAAACGTGATTTTTGGGGACACATAGTCTTAATCCCTCTTCTCTAGAGTCACCACGGCGATACAGTACATTACCTAAAATGACGAACCACTTTTTTATGCGTTCACTCGGAGTGATTGACTCCAAAATTTGTATCACGTTTGAACAATAAACATCTTTTTGTTGATCTGCTGTCAGTTTCGAGAGATTCTTCAAAGTTTTCCTGAAAGCATCACCCCGTAAAGTAAAAATCTCGATTTTGTTTTCATGATTGGGAATATCTATTTTCGAATTTAGATCTAATGGATAACGTGAAAGACAGTCAGCAATTACATTTTCCTTTCCAATGCAGTAGAGAATGTCAAAAGAATATTCCTGAAGGAACAAGGTCCATCGTGACAAACAAGAATTCAGCAATTTACATTTCATGAGGAAAAATAAAGCTTTATGATCTGTGATGACAGTCAATGGCTGACCTAGTACGAAAACCCTCCATTTTTTCATGGAATATAATATTGCCAACGCCTCTTTCTCCGAAATTGTGTATAATAATTCAGATCCTTTCAATGTTCGGCTTGTAAACGCAATAGTATACTTTTCACCAGTTACTTGGTCTAGTTGGAAAAGACAACCGCCAATACCATAACCAGAACTATCACATCGAATGAAAAATCTTTGACCCATACGTGGGTGTTTCAAAAAACATACATTCAAATAAGCCCCTTTTACCTCTTCAAAAGCTCTTTCTTCGGTCAATGACCATTTCCATTTGACATCCTTACGAAGCAACCGGACTAATGGTACTGTGAGGCTAGCATAATTCTCCACAAACCGACGATCAAAATTACACATCCCTAAAAATGATCTCAAATGTTTCATATTCAAGGGTCGTGAAAATTCTTGAATAGCCCGAATTCTGTCTAAATCCATTGAGATACCCTTAGTTGTTAGTATATGTCCTAGAAAATTTACACTTTCTCTTGCAAAATAACATTTTCTCAGTTTAATAGTCATATTTGCTTGTCCCAGCCTCATGAATAACAGATCAAGATGATATAAATGTTCCTCGACAGAACCTGATGAAATCAAAATATCATCTACGTAAGGAATGGCAAATGCCTTGACTTCGTTTCCCAAAATTTTACTCAATCCTCTTATGAAACTGGCAACTGACGTGGACAATCCGAATGGCAGAACGCAAAACTGATACGTCTGATCTTCAAATTGGAAGCCAGTGTACTTACGACTAGCAGGTTCAATCGGTATTCGCCAATAGGATGCAGTCAAATCGATGGTACTCAAGTAACGAATGTTGGAAAAATCAAATACCATCTCTCCAGGATTTGGAGGTACTATGTGATCTTTTTCCATCCGGCTATTCAAATAACGTGCATCTAAACACACTCGAACGCTTTTATCCTTCTTAGCAACAACTACGAGAGGACTAATATATTCCGTTTGCACTGGTTCAATTATCTTCCATTCACACATTTCCTGAATTTGTTTACGAGCTTC